TATCCTCGTGCTCAAGTGAGGAAATGGAGACTCAGAAAAGTAAAAGCAACTTGCCTGTGGGCTCCAGTTATTAAGTAGCAGAGTTCAGATTTGAGACCTAAGGCATCTCTATACAGCTACATGCAGGAAGTAGAAAAAGAAGCAAGCAGGGCTTGGGGAATTTGTGTGTGGAGTCCCCCAGGGTGCTGGAGAAAGAGCTCAGGTGACCCTGCAACTCCTGGCTCCCACCCCCCCAACCCCATTCTCACCTGCGCCTTCTTTAGAGTTTAACCGCTTCACCGGGCAGGGCTGGGGGCATGCAGACAGCTCCTGAAGCGGTCTCCTGTTAGGCGGTGGCTTCGGCTCAGCTGTCAGGATAATGCAGGGTATTTGACTAATCTAGAACAATTTGCAGGCGTCTCCACTCCGCACGCGTCCTTCCCTACTTAGCCTCACTGTAACACTATTTTTGAATTGATGTCTGCGGGCACTTCCTAGAAAGGGCCATGACTAGCTGAGCAGCTGAAGCTCCTGGAAGAGAAACACCAAACAGACCGTCTTATTCCAAAGGCCAAGCCAAAGACAGTGGCCAAGCCAAGCTACTGGCTGGAGTTCTGCCCACAGCAGCCTGTGCCCCACCCCCCGCCATCTGGGTAGCAAGCGCCAGAGGTCTCCTGTAACCAGGTCAGGCTCACACTCCTCCCCCCCTCCACCCCAGCTAATACAGAGCCTCTTCCACCCCCCAACCACCCCACATCCCACTCAGCCCCCAGCCGGCCTTATCTTGGCTTTTCTGGAAAGACCCAAGACTTGGCCATATCCAAAGAAAGGCTACAACCGGCTTGTGCTGAAAGGTTGGGTACAGGTTGTTCAGAATTGGGGACCTGTCGGGGTCCTGGGGGACTTTCCTGTCCACGCTCTGGCTCACGAGTAGAGTGCACAGACACAAGGTGCTCTGGGCGACGCCTGGCTCTATGGCCCGCTTCTGCAGTTCCGTCTGCCTGCTTGGGCCTGTGCCCCGCGTCTGTGCGACGGTCACGATGCCCAGCTCCCAGGGTGTGCCGAGACTGGGCCATGCCAAGCCTGAATGCCAGGCACAGAGCCCAGCCGCTAGCGGCTCCTTATCCCTGAACTCCCCGGGGACCCCTTCTGCTGCCTTTTCACAATACACATGAGAGTAGACTGAGCCCCTGGTCTTGGTGGGGCCTGGAACTGGGGGGCTGAAGAGCAAAAACCTGCCATGGACTGGGGCTGGGAAGGAAGTCGGGGAAGATGCAGAGTTCGGCCCGCATGGGCCTCTGTGGGCCCTCTGTGCCACCGGGTGCTTCCCTGCGTGTCTCGGGTACATCTCCAACCCTGCGGGGAGGGCTTTGGTTTCCTTTCTTGTCTCTGCTGGGCGGCTGAGCCCCATGCTCTGGTCAGGACACTGAGGCCACGGAGTTTCCGAGGGGCAACCAGAACTGCTGCCAGCCCCCTGGGGAACCAGGAAGTAGCCATAACTGTGACACCAGCCCCTGCCATGCCACCCCCCCCCCCTAAGGGTTTCTGTCCACCAGCTCCTCTTCTTTCTTTCTCTCAGTGGAATAGGAAGGGGCAAACAGTGAGGAAATCTAAAGAGCTACATACTGGGAGTGAAAGAGCCAATCAGGTTGCAGTTGCCTCAGGACACCCCAGCAGGGCTGGCCACCAGGACTTGTCACTGCAGTCACTCGAGGGGGAGACAGAGACAGAGCGTCAGGACTGTCAGGGAAGACGCTGATGTCTGGAGCCAGCAAGTGTCTGTGGTCCCGGCCCCTAGGTGGATGCCCTTCAGGGCAAGGCTCTTCGGTGTTTGCATAGGAGGGTCACGACCCACCCCTTCTTCCTGTGCCCTGGGGTGGAGGGGGCATGGCTTCCCTGCGGTGTGGCCCCTCACTGCAAGGGAGCGTCTCCCTCCAACAAGCGCAGCTATGGTTTCCACTCAGGAGCCCACTGTCCTCAGCTCTGCTCAGCTCAGGGTCAAGGGTCCAAGTTTACTGTCGGCTGTCCCAGGCTCCCCAGGGCAGCCTGCTCCCCAGAGCCCCCAACACTCACACACGCACACTCACTCCACCACAGTGATGCTCCCACACCCGGCGGGTGAGGGGTAAGCACAGGCCCCGCAGGTTAAAGGCAGGAGCCCCAACAAGCTGCCTCATCTCGCATGCCACACACAAGTGGGGTGCTCAGGCCACCTACATCTCTTCTTGGCTTGCCTATGGACACGACCCTTTGGGTTGTGGGTTGCTAGGACTCGGGACCTCAGCAGAAGCTGCCTCCTGCTGACCACTTTATGCTGAGGGAGGCTACTCGGCCTAAGAAAAGGGCAGTGGGGGGCCAGGTCTGGGATGAGGAGGGGATGCAGGGGCCCCACCCTGCTCCAGTGGAATTGGGGTGCCCGCCCCCACCCTCCCCTATGCCCCCAACCTGGAGCTCTGCTAAGTGTCAGCCTCCAGAGGGTGGCCTGAGTTTCGCTGTGTGGACACGAGTGATTTAACCACAAACTCACATTCTGTCGCCAGCTGCTGTCTCCCGAGATCGGGGTGAACCGAAAACTCCCATGGCCAGTCCCTGTGAATTGAGGCCACCATGAGTCAGCTGTCCCATAAGCTCAGCTCAGTCCTCAGAGGCTCTTTGCGACCAACAAGACACTCCTGTTTCTCAGCAAAAATCAAGCACGTCTCAGGAACTGGGGGCAAAGACCAGATGCGATATTTTTGATGCCACACATTGTCAGACACACTCACCCCTTCTCACACACACCGCTGGTACCCACCCCCTCACCCCCTCACCCCCCGTGGACAGGAGGCGGCTGGTCCAGGGGCCTCGGAGGAAGAGGCAGAGCGAGCGACCTCTTTTCTTTGAAAAGCAGGTGACAGTCAGTTCAGTGACGCTGCGGCTCGCGGGAGGGCCAGGCCGCACTGGGGCCCAGGCATGGTGTCTGAGTGCAAGGCGAGGCTTCTGGTCGAGGGCCTCTGGCAAGCCCCCGGGGGGAGCAGTTCACAGACTGCAGGCTCCGCCAGCCAGCACCTCTTCTCCCGCTGGCCAGAGAAGTCACTCCCCAGGGTCCTCGGTCCTCGCCAGCTTCTCATGCTCTCTCCACCCTGTGCTGCTGGATGAGCGGCTGGTAAACCCATTTCCAGCCAAGGCCCAGTGACTAATGGGATCTGTGTGGCGTTGCTCCCAAAGGGACACGCATGGTCAGGAAAGCAAAATCTTAAGCCAGACACCCATCTAGAGAGGGGCTGGATGGGGGTGCGTGATTTCAGGGAAGTAGAGGAAAGAGCTGAGCTCAGATTCCAGCTCCAGCAGGTCCTAATCCTGTGGGCTTGCCTCCCTCGGCCTCAGTTTCCTCATCTATAAGGTGGGGCCAATACTGCCACATCCTCATGGCTCGAATCAGAGATTCAAGAAAGACCGTGGAATCTATGGGCTGGGTGCAGGGTGCAGTCTGCAGTATGTGACTAGCTGTCCTTAGTCACTAATGACATTTTTGTAATGGTTTTACTGACAGCTCTACTAGCATTGTAGGAACAATTATAAAAATACAGGACTGTAATAGCAGTCAGTAATGATAGCCAAGAATTTGGGACTCTCCTTTGTGCTGGTGGAGAAAGGGAAGCCATGCCATCTCGGGGATCCCCCAGCACCCCCATTCCTGGGCCCCGTCATCAGCAGTTCTCAGTGACCCTGCTCGCCAATTCTCCCTCAGCAATGCGGCCGAACTCCTGGCCCAAGTCCTGGGGCTCTGAATGGGACAGGTAGGCCAGAGGGGGACACTGTGACCACGTGCTTCCTCAGGAAAGGAAGGAATGACTTCTGCTGACTGAGGGACACGGCCCTCTGTTCCCCAGAAGGCGAGGTTCCGGGGGGTTGGGGCGATTCCAGAAAGTGTCAGCACCTGGAAGAAGGAATGAGCTTGGAAGGGGTTTGAGGGCACAAAAAAGTTCACTTGAAAAGCAGAGTTTGTGTGGAAAGAGGGGCCCTCCCCATGATGTCCTGGGAGGGGCACCACCCGAGAGGGCTGCGGTGGGTGTAACAGTGGGGATCTTCCAAGTCATGGCTGAGCGGAGCCATCGGCCAGAACAGGACAGCCAGAGGGACCCTGCGGCCCCAACTTGGGTTTAGACTTCAGATGAAGCTTGCTCGCCAGAGCACAGATGCGTCCCAGGAAACCAGAGGTGTTTTATCGGACCAGGAGGAAGTCATCCGAGAAGGACCAGTCTCTCACGGGGCGGGGCTTGCACATGGAGAAGTGACATGCCCGCCACCAGCGTCCAGGCCTGGCCCCTGCGCTGCCCCTTAGAGCCACGAGGCCTCAGCCAGCGAGCTAAGCTTCCAGTGTAGTGGTTACTCTGATCGCCTCAACCAGCTCGAGGAGGGAGGCCCTGCTGAGATCTGAGAGGGCCTCGCTTTCTATTCCATAAAGTGGGGGTAACCACAAGACTCAGGCAGTGGGCGGGCCCAGAGGCTTAGGCAAATGTGCACATGTAAAGAAGTCTGAACAGTTCCTGTTGCAGAGAAAAACCTATATTATTTATTAGCTATTTTTATTTCCGTGGGGGAAAAGTGTAAATTGACTAATACCTGTGATTGTTTCCAGCAGCCTCTCTCTCCCAGAGCATAAGTGCTGGGTGGGTTGAAATTTAACTTGACTCCCCATGTATTTGAACTTTTTAAAGTGTGGACCCCAGAACACCCCCCAGATCAGAATCATCTGATTCTCCCCGTCCCAGTCAGCATCTTGGGGGGACCCAGGGATCTGCATTTTAAGCCCCCCTGCCAAGATCCATGCCGACAGCATAGAGGCCTCTGGGAAGTGGCGATATTCGCTGCCTTCCCTCAAAGAGCAAATGAAGAATTGAGCTGCGGGACACGGATGTGGGGGACCGACCCCCAGTTCTGAGGGATGCTTGGCTACGGCCCCGCCCCCTGCCGCCTCTTGTTTCAGCAAGAGTCCGTGACCTCCGCTGACTCGGGGTGGTCTCCCCTTCTCCCCGCAGGCGTTCCTGGTCCGGAGGGACAGCAGCTTGAAGCTTCTGGTGCTCTGTGTCCACGTCCCGTCCCCGCAGGAGAACTCATCCGGTGTGCTCGAATGCGCCATCAAAGAAGAAAAATCGAGTAAGTACCTGTCTTCCGTTCTGGCCCCCGACCACACCGCAGCAGCAGACACTGCTCCCCGTAACCACAGACACTGCTGTCAGGCGGAGGGGTTTAAAATTAGAAGAAGGGAGGAAAGCTTTGCATCTGCTGAAGTTGTTTGGCCAGGTTTGTTTTGAGCTTATCACTCAACGCAACGAGTTTCCGCCCAGCCTTGTCGCTCACGGCTTCTTGGCTCGGCTTCCTCGTGGCTGCCTGTGAAGTTTCCTCTTGGCAGCTCAGGCTTGAGAATGGGGAGAAAGGGAGAGGGGACGCCTCTGGGCCCTAGTGACAGCTCCAGACACATCCAGCCGTGATCTGGCAAACGTCACTTAACCTCTCAGAGCCTCCATTTCCTCCTCCATCCAATGGACACAGCCATCATCGTCCAACCTGTATCACAGGGCCTTTTCGGGGGTCAGATCCTATATGTGCCCAGGGCTGCCAGGACGGGCTTGGGCCTCAGCCAGAAAATACTGTGGCCTCCCCGTCAAGGGTGGGTTGGTACTGATACTTGATGAAAGGCTTCCAGCCTCCCCCCCACCTCCCCCCACCTTATGAGACAGTAACGTCAAAAAAAACCTGTAGAAGAACCTGGAACATTCCAAATGCTGGCCTGAGTCCTCTTATAATTGGAGGTGGGCACGTAGGAAGCTTTTTACTTCCAGTTAGCAACTGAGAGACAACAGTTCAATAAGATAATAAAATATGTATTAAGTATTTCATAAATATTCTGAGTATAAATTATAAATATACTCACATAATTAAATAGCAAGTAAATGTCATAAGTAATTTAAGATCATTACTAAATATTCTGGAGTGTTTGGTTCTCAGGAACACTCGGGCCCCACACAGGGAAGAGACAAACACAGGTCAGGGGGCCTCTGAGGCTTCCAGTGTACTTGGAGGGTGGGGCCGGGCAGACAGGAGAGACTCGGACACCAGTGCTTGCTGACCTGCGTGGTAGGCGTGATGGCTCAGGAGACGCAGAGCAGGGGGCGCCTGGGCCCCTTGCGTGAGTGGGCTCGTGAAGGGCTGGTTTTCTAGCTCCAGAGGCGGGTGAGAAAGTGAAAGCAGAGACAGGTTCCTGTTCTTGAGAAAAGGGGGCCCTTCCCTGGGGACCCGGCTCGTGCAGAATGGATGTCACACCCGCACTTACCGAGTGTCCATTCTGTGCAGGGCTGTGTTCTGTCCCTGGGGTCGCAGCAGGGAACAGAGCAGAGTCGCCACCTCTCGAGGCGGAACTGGTTATGGAGGTGAAAGTCAGAGGGTCAGGCTGAGGAGAAAGTGGAATCGGGAAGCTCCACCGGCTGCTGTAATAACAGAAATGCTGTCCCGCCCACGTGCAAGGTCCCCGAAGGCTCATCCAGGGACCCCAGCTCCCCACCTTGGCAGGCAGCATCCATTTCCCCGTGGGACACCGGAAGGCTAAGAGGCTGGGGCAGGTGCTGGCCAGTCTCACCTTCAGGGCCTGGGGGTGGGGGTGTGCCCTGTGCTCACACTCACTGGCTAGAACTCGTGTGCCCATGCCCGGCCCCACGGGGGCCTGGGAAATCGGTCCCGCATGTGTGCAGGCTTTTGGGGAGCTGCCAGCCCGTTCCTGCCCTCTGGGGAAGGGCCACTGTGTGCAGGGGTGCAGGGAGAGGCTGTTGGCTTTTGCACAAACTCTGCTGCCTCAGACAGGGAAAACGTGTCGGAAATCTCAGAGGCAGAGTTTAGCTTTCCAGACCACATATGTGGCCCCTCTGCAGAGGGGGTGCAGTCAACGCATTTGCACTGTCGCTGGGAGGGGACTGTCAGCACCCACCTGCTTTTGGACTGTGTGGTCCTGCCAGAGGGGGCCACGCTGTCACTGGGCTACAGGGGACTTGGCCCCCTGACACTCGTGACACCCACATTGGCGGGGGGGTCTGAGAGCGGGGAGTGCCCTGTCCCAGGGTTCTCGGAGGAAAGGGCTCCGGACTAGACAAGGCCTGGAGGTTCTCTCCTGTCCGAAATCCTTAGGCTCCTTTCGCCCTCACTCCTCAGTCTCCAGGTGGTCACTGTCCAAGCCACCCCCTGCCCCCAGTCGTCCCAGCCTTTTGGAATGTTCAGAAAGCGCACGGCAGGCCTGGCTCCAGTCCTGGGAGGTCAGGCCCGGTGCGTATCTCTATCCTGCTAAGAAGCCCCAGGTCAAAGCAGGGCACGCAGGGATGGAGGTGGTGGTCACGTCCTGTGCTCCACCTTTAAGCTTTTAAAAATGCAACATTCGGCTTTGCTGAAAAGACCGTCACAACTCAAACCAAAAGTCCTTCCTGTCACAAACTCCCGGTCATGACGGGAGCCCACTCCCAGCCACCCCACAGTGTCCACTATACGTTTGTATGTTTTACTTGCCTCTAGAAGTTCTTCTTCCACGAGCCCCAAACTTTGGTCCTTTGAGGTTTGCCCGGGAGGGAACCCAGACGACAGTGAAACAAACGGCAGGTGAAGGGCGTCTCTCCTTGGGAGCATGCAGCTCCTGGCTCTCCTCACTCCCCATGCCGAGCTGGAGGCCGCAGCCCGAGCGCAGCCCAGCCCTGCCTTTCACTGCTCGTGGGACCCTGGCTGTGGCGCTTAACCTCTTGGGGCTTCTTTTGTGGGTGATAATGGTGCCTCCCGTGTGTGGTGCTGGAAGGAGTTAGTGCGACTGAAGAAGGATGTAGCTGAAGCCAGTGGAGGGTTCTGACAGTGTTGTTATCTTTTTTTAAATATTTATTTATTTGCACACACAGAACTGGGGTACAGGCCAGAGGCTCAGGGGCGGCGAGAGGCTTCACCAGAGACAGAGTGGGGAGCGGAACAGGCAGATGGACGAAGTCCACTGCTGAGGGGAGCAGCGGGCGGGCCAGGAGAGGTCTGCGCGCCCTGTGGGTCACCTCCGGGGCAGGTGGGGATCCAATTCATGCTGGAGCGGCTTTAGCTTCTCAGTGCTGCGTTTTCACCCGCTGCGGCACCAGGGAGGCCCGGCGTTGCTATTTTTACAATTGCTGCTGCCGCTGCTGCCACCACACTTACAATCGCTGTTTCTGCGGCCGCTGCTACTGCACTGCCGTCGCCCCCCAGTGCGCCCGCTGGCACTGCCACGGGCACCAACACCGTGCGACCCCCCTGAGCACACTGCGCTGCCGTGCCTACTGCATCCTGCCAGGCACGGCCATGTGCTGCCCCCATTACAGTTTTGAGTGATTTTTGGTTGATCCCCCACGGTAAGCCGAAGGGGCGTGGAATAAGCCTGCTCACACAGGGACCCTCGGCTCTGGGTACACCGCAGGAGAGCAGGTGGGGGCGCCTCCCTGTCCCTGTGGGAGGAGGCCGAGGAGGGCACTCACCTCCCAGAGCAGGACGCTCCTGAGCCTTCCTGTTGCCGTGGTGGCCTGAGGAGGAAGTGGGCAAGGGAAAGGCCCAGGGCCTAGGGCTGGGGCCTTTTTGGGGGGTTCTCCACTTGGCTTAGGCAAGGGGAAACCCAAAAGTGGGCAGTCAGCCTCACCGTGTCCCCTCGGCTTGCTGAGAAGCAGATGCGCCCGGCTGGCCCCCGCCCACCCTGTGGCCGGGATCGAATTGCCCCCCATTTCTTGTTCCCTTGAGCCAGGAGTGGGCCCGGACAACTTCAGGACAGATGAGCCTGAAAACCCTGACGTCGTCAGCGTGGGCTGGCTGTGCTGCCGTAACAAGCATCCCCAACCACAGGGGTTTGCGCGCTCTCACATGTGGGCAGCGCCTGGAGGCGCCGTGTTCAAACATCTGCTCTGCAATCCGGGCGAAGGAGGGCCGGAGAGACCGGCAGGGTTCCCCGGGGCTCTGGAGGTTCTGCTCTGGGGCAGCAGGTGTCCCCTCCCCTCACACCTCGTTCACCAGAGCAGCCAGGTGCCAGTGAGGTGGGGGTGCCATCCTCCAGGGGCCGGCGACTCGCGGGGGCGGGGGGCGGCGGCAGCCCACTGCTTCTGCAGGCCCCTCTGGGCTGCGCTAAGGTGCTAAGGAGGTTTCGAGGTGTCGGGGTCAACACTCTGCCTTATGGGAGACCCTCCAAGACCAGCTCTGGGTGTGCAGGGGAGCAGGGACCCAGCAGAGGAGACGTGGGGGGGGGGATACATGGAACAAAGGAGCAGGCACGGGATGGGCAGAGCCAGACCGGCTTCTGGGCACCAGCCCTGACATTTTGTGGCCGAATGCACCCGCTGTCTGGGGGACACTGGCCACTTCTTAGTTGGTCAGCACCCATGGAACAGTCACAGTGACACATTCATAGGGTGGCATTTTTCTGCGGGCTGTTAAAAAGTGAAAGGAAGCCAGCTGGGCCTGTCCCTGGAGGAGGAACCACAAGATGGTGGTGGGTGGTGTGGTCTGGCCCCACGGGAAGTGACTGCCCAGCAGTGGAGTTCCTGGGGCAGCCCCCCTCTGCTCCCTGCCTGTTTCCCCCTGCCAGCTGATGCCTGGCCTGTCCAGCTCAGTCAGGGCTGTTCTTTGCCCTGAGCACACCTTCCCCTCTCAGGGGCTGGTCTAGTAGTTGACGGAGAGACACCTGTTTCTGTGGGAATGACGCCCACCTCCCCGGCTAACGCAGTGAAAGCTGTGCCAGTGGGTGCTGCTGGTTCTCATCACTGGGCTGAGGGAAGAAATCCCAGGGACTCCTCCTGGGCAGTGGAGATATGGGGGGACGGGTGTGGGGAGACAGGGTGTCGCCTTTGAGTTCTACTCCAGGGATTTCCATTGACGCTCTTGGGCCTTATTCTAGAATGGGATTCAGCCAGTACTTGAGGGGGAAACCTGATATTCAATGAGGGAGGCAGAGCTGATGTGTGTCTTGCTTTCTGGTCCTTTAAAAGCCTGAGCTTTGGAAAGGCTGACGATTTAGGATTTATATCTGTCACCTTGGGACATTGGACACGTTACTCTACTTTTCTGTGCTTCAGTTTCCTCATCTGCAAAATGGGAACAAGAATATTGATGAGGAAATACACAGG